TAATAGAGAGCCATGGTCAGCTCTGAAGACATATAATTACCTTTATACAGAATGAGCAAGTTGAATACATATATATATATATATATATATGCATATGTGTATATAACAGCAATTAATAAACAGAAGGCCATGAATTTGAAAGAGAGTAAGGAGAGGTATATGGGAGGGTTTGGAAGGAAGGGGAAAATAATGTAATTATAATATGATTTTGTAAAATAAGATAAACAATTTAAAAAACAAGGGTCTATATTCCAATAGATGCATTTATTTTCTAATCTTTACTGCAACCTTTATTGCAACCCTGTGAGTCAGTATCATTCTCATTTCGGAAGTGTCCAGGTGCATAGAAATGTTAGGTGGTGAATCCAGAGAGCTGTCAAGTTTCCAAGGCCCAATTGTATAATTTAGGTTTCTGTTAGTATTTTGCTTTGCTTTGTTTTCAGAATTCTTTCCACTGGCAAGTATAAATTACACTTTTGCATAGTTCTCATTCTTTTAGAAACACTGTTGGTGTATTTTAATGTTTTACCTTACCTTTTAAGATGGGCCTAGATATTTTCTTATTTCCTCTTTACAAGGAACAAATCAAACATAATTCCTAAACTTCAGCAAGAGTGAGACTGAAAGTTTGCTTTATATTTTAAACCAGGCACTGTGTTTTCCTTTGTGCCCTATAACTGCTGCAAAATGGAATTATACCATTTGCTATTCGATGAGATAAAAAGCAAATGTTATCAATGAAAAACAAAACAAGACAAACCCCAAACCTCGGTGCAACTGCTTCAGCCTCACAGGTACCCCGGTAGAGCATTAAATCCCATGTTAGAACCGAAATGATTCTGCTGTGATGTGAAATTCAGAGAATCTTTCAATGGGAGACAGATTGGTCCTTGACCCTGGGAGACAGCATTTTGATTTTGAGTGCTTCTTGTTTGTCATAAAACTGTGCTGATTTTAAGCTTTTTAAAAATTTATTCTTCTCTCATACATTTCATACAGATTGTAGTTTTCCTTTCCTCCTCTCGTCCCAGTCTCTCCCTTGCCTCTTGCCTTTCCCCAAGATCCACTATTCATCAGTTTCTCTTCAGAAAAGAGCAGGTCTCCCAGGGATAGCAACCGTATATGGGATAACACACCCTCATACAAAGGCTGGATGATGCAATTCAGTAGGGGAAAGGGGTCCAAGAGCAGGCTAAAGAGTCAGAGAGAGCCCCACTCCCACTGTTAGGAGTCTCACAAGAACACCAAACTGTACAAATATAACATATGTGCAGAGGACCTAGCACAGTCCCATACAGGCTCTGTGATTCAGTTCAGTCTCTGTGAGCCCCGATGGGCCCTGATTAGTTGTTTCTGTGGGCTGTATTCTTGTGGTGTACTGACCCCTCTGGCTTCTCCAACCCTTCCTCACTCTGTTTTGTGGGTTTTCTCTGAGTTCTATCTAATGGTTGATTGTGGATCTGGGCATCTGCTCCTATAAGTTTCTGGAGTCTCTATAATGACGATTAAAAGTACAGAAATAATTTTCTTTTTCCTTCCTTCCTTCCTTCCTTCCTTCCTTCCTTCTTCCTTCCATTCTTCCTTCCTTCCCTTCTTTCTTTTCTGTCAGTTGTGTTTGGTTCTAGCAAAGGTCTCCTGGCTGCATAGCCTCTATTTCTTGTCCATTCGGGTAGTGTCAAGGAGAAGACTGGAATTGATTGCTCCCTTTTGGAGAGTGTAGAACCTTTCCCCAAACACTGCTTTCAGATAAATTTTCTTGGCTAATATTTGGGGAAAATTACATTTTTTCCCACTGAAGGGGATATTTTCCCCCAGACTCAGAACAGAATATGACAAAGCTCCAGCTCCCGTCTCTATAACCTGGTTCACTGCTGCCATAATGTTGATCAAGAATCATAAGGAATACGCATTCCTTTTTGTGAGTGAATGCTTTTATAGAAAATTAAGTGCAAATGGTGTCATTAAATTCTTTCCCCCAATTTAAAACAATTGTAACAAATAGTACTGGCATTAAATTTTCATTTTCTGTATTCTAGGCAGTGTGCTAGGCCCTTTGCAAATACTGCTGACACTATTGTGCAAGGATCCTATGAGGTCTTTTTCTAAATTACAGAATTTGCCTTCTTAAGATGACACCATTATGGATTTAAACTGTTCCACTTAATTTTAAAAGGTTACCCTTTTCTCTGGTTCTTCTCTCCTATTCCTATCCCTCCCCACCTCACTCTCTCTCTCCCCCTCCCTCCCTCCCTCTTCTTTGTATGTGTGTGTTTATGTATGTTATGTTTGTGTGTGTGCATTTACAAGACTGCTAAGACCGTAATCACTGAATAACTTTTTGTGACGTGGAACTGTTATTTGGAATATTGCACATCATAATGAGGCATTTTGAAGGAGCTATTGGCAAGTGCACAGGAGTTTAGGCATGCACTCGGTGCTCTACATAGCAGTGCTATGATTTTTACTGTGGTCAGATATGCAGGGCATTCATCTTCTCATTCTAAGATGATTCTAAGGCATGTTAAGTGTCGTGGTATTTGTCAAACTCTTGTGCAGCCCTTATCCATCTCAAGTGCTCTCTCCTCTCTGCAAATGTAATTTTGCAACCACTGAACATCAACTGTCTATTGTTCCCTGTATTTCAATTACTATTCTTTCCTTCTAGACGAATGAGACTGCTTTAGCATCCTCAAATTAGTGGGATCATGTTGCATTTGCTGTTTTGTGACTGGCTTGTTTCTTACAAAATGTCTGGACGTTTTATTCACACTGAATCCTGTATCCCAATTTTCTTCAACACTGCTGGCACTGCACTTAACACCGTAGCCTGCATCCGGGCTTCCTTCCACTGGTGCTGCATTATATGCCCATGCCACATTTTGTTTATCAGTTCATCTGTCAATAAACACTTCAATTATGCCTATCTTTTGGGTTTTTAAAATAATGCTGCTGTGATTTTGATGGACAAACATGCAAAGATGGGGGCTAAGTCCTTGCTTTCATTTTGGGTATATTCCTGAAAACAAAATTACCGAATCACAGGATAATTCTTCATAATCTTTAAGCCATCTGATAGTTACAATTTTGATCTTCCTTTTCTTGACATTTTTCTTTATCGTTAATGTGTTTAGCATCAGCATCATCTCCTTGTCTAGTCATGCCTTCTTAACATTGCTGGTTACATGGAGAAAAATAGGCTCTGAGGGATGCCTAGCTCCAACAAACACGTTATGATGATCTGTTCTAAGTAGTTAAAGCCCTCCTGTTTTATGTGCTTTGAGCATCTTAATTGTATTTTTTTTATTTATTGATTTTTATTGAGCTCTACAATTTCCTCTCCTCCTCTCCCTGCCTCTCCCTTATCCTTCAACCCTCTCCCAAGGTCCCCATGCTCCCAATCTACTCAGGAGATCTTGTCTTTTAAACAATGAATACTGTAAGAAGTGGTGACTTAGAGAAAAGAACACTGTAAGCATTTGATTTAGAACCCATAACCTAGGTGGCAGCTGTGTGCCTATATGCTTTGATGACAGATCAAATGCTAGGTGCCATCCACTAATGAGTAAAAAGGGCTTGCAAGAAATGTCTGATGATCTGAGTTGATTCTCTAGAACCTGCAGTGGTGAACCAAATCTCTATTGTTATCCTCGCATGTCAACACAGACCTGTGTGTTGTGTGTGAGAACACGCTTGTGCACAACTAGAATAATAATATAATTATTATATAGAATAATAATAATTCTAAAAGCTGTGAACTTAATGAGGTTTGGAAGTTGGTACAGAGCATTTTTGTGGGATTATGTAAATGATACAGGCTCTCTATATGGAGGACTTTATAAATCCACTTAAATCATTCTATTACTGAGAAGTGCCTTTATTATATATGTTTTTGAATAAAGCTCAGGGGTCAAAAAATTTACTTTCTGTTTTCGGTTACAGTCCATTGGAAGACTAGTGACAGGAGCTCCTGGAACTGTTCTGTGTGGGAGGGTGGAGTAGTCGTCGTCACGATACTTTGTCAGGTATTTCTTAGGCCCCTTTATCAGGCCACCAGCCCCAACCTTAGACAGCACATTTCTGTGCTTCCTCTCCTCGTTCTCAGAGCTTCTATTCTTTGCAAACCCTCTTCAGAAGGTTTGTAAGTGACCCTGTAGTTTTCCCAGCTCTTTTGTGTTGGGCCACACTGACCTAGGTCATTAGGAGAAAGAAAGGCGGGCTGCTAAGAGATAAAAGTTTTATTGAGTGTTTCTTTTGCTGTCTTTGTAAAATTAGGTCAGTTGCGATTTATAGTAGCAAAGGATAATCTACAGTGGATAAGTCAGATATAGGGAGCCTCATCGAAAGGATGCTAAAAGCTGAATGAGCATTTCTATGAAGCGTCTATGGTGGTTAAAAACCCCAGAGTGCAGGTGGTATAGCAAGGCAAAATCTTAGGAATCATGAAGAGACATCTTAATCTGTACCACTCCAGATGAAGAAAACGAGAAAACATGTTTCTGAATCTTTTCAGCACCCTGAAAAGTGAAGCCAGGAGAATGTTATTGGTGTGTTAGCAATGAGGACTCTGACCCACAGAAAGGTTTACAGGTGGGCCCAAATTCTCTTAACAAATATAGGAATTGGGTGTAAGTCTTCTGCTTCCAGAGTCCTGTTTACTTTCCCTAACGCCAGGCTGATGAGTTTGATGTATCCCCTAACAACTCATGTGTTAAAATTTGCTTGCTGCTATGGTTGGTGTATTGTAAAATGTAGACAAGCGCTATTGGGGTATGGAAATTTTATTTGTTTATAATTATATCCTTTAAGTTGCTCATACATTTTTTATCTGATAGTTCAATTAAAGAATGAGTTGGTTAGTTACTAATTTTTTTTCCAAAAAAAAAAAAAAAAAAAAAAAAAAAAAAAACCCCTTGCTACCCCAGCGCAACATTTTTTTTTTTTTTTTTTTTTTTTTTTTTGGAAGTAACTGAATCATGAAGGCTCTGGCATTAGCAGCTTGTTTCACTGAGGGCGTGATCATCTGATGGCATTGTTGGGATGTGGCAGAAACCAACAGGTAGGGTCTAGCTGGAAGAGTCACTGGGATGGGGATATGTGCTGAAGGTTTCCTCTTGTGAGTGCTCAAATGGAACCTCTTGTACTTGGGTCTCTTCTTCTCTCCACTTCTGGACACCTTGGTTCAGCAGGCCTGTGCCATCATCACAGACTTCTCATTACGGGGGTGCGTTTCACCTCAGTCTCAGAGCCTTAGAGCAAGTCAGCTAGGGTCAAAAACCTCTGAAGCTACGAGCCAAAAAACAAACAAACAAACAAACAAACAAAAACCTTTTTTTCTTGAAATTTTTTTTTCAGGCATTTTGTGAAAGTGACAAACACTGACAGATTTTTGTGCTTTTATTTTTTATTTACTATTTACATTAAAGTCTATTTCATACAATGAAAAAATTTCTTGATAATACCAGTAGCTATGACCATTTCTTAAGTTCTTGCTTTAAGCTAAATTATTTAAGTCATGTTTCACTTGATTTTAATAATTAAAATAATTAAATATTAAGCATTAAAATAATTCAGTTACCTTTGCAGATAAGGAACTTAGGTTCATGAAAAGGAAGTGACTTACCTACAATTTCATGTTGGATATATAATATGGATACCAGAAGAACAGTGAAAGAAGTTGTTAATGCCATGACTCTGCAGAATAATTTTGATTCTTAGAGAAAGTCTTGATGAGAATGTTTGTGCGTCCTTAACCTTTCAGTAATTTAGCTTTCTCCTGTGTAAAACGTGAAAAATAAGAACTTGTGGTTTCCAAGAACCACATCATTGATGTTCTAGGAGGGACCAGAGGGCTCAACATTCAGTCACACGGCTTTGATTTCCTATGGTGAAGGGATACACAGCAAATTAGTAGATGAAAAAGACAGAGAAAGTCTGGGGAACCAGATGCAAACATTCAATGGACTATTCCCAGCAGGGTCACACAGGATGCGTTTAATTCTCTCAGCAACAAGCTATGGCAAACAAGTAAGATGTTCCACTGCAGAAAATCCCCTGAGACTCTCAGCACTTAGGGGATTTTATTCAGATGTGTGTAGTTGAACTTTGCATATATAAAGTTCCAGGCATCTAGAAGGTAAGTAGATATTCAACATAAGCCATACAAATAATTGGAGCAAAGCAAGAGTCATTCTAACAAACACTGAGGACATCCTGTTGGTGGACCTTTCTCAGGATAATGTCCCAAGACACTATGCAAACTTCTTTCTGCACATTTTTTTTTCTGAAGTGGTAAGAAGTATATATGATAATGTATTTACTTCAGTAATGCTTGCCAGAGAATAACAACTCTGCATCTCAATGACAAGGAAAACTAAATACTTCAATATCAGTAAATAAACCAGGAGGCAAGACAGATATAAATAAATATCCCACAACATTGTAAATATGGCATGCTCCTTAGTGGATATGTTGTATGATATGAATCATTATTCAGCATGTGTCACTATATAGGTAAATGCCATTAATTTTGCTTGTCAAGCTATAGACAGACAGACAGACAGACAGACAGACAGACAGACAAAGAGATACAAGGCCTACCTGGTTATCTGTTGAATACTGTGCCTTACTGTCACATACAGAGAAGACCATGCCCAAGTGACAATGTCATCCTGGGATTCACAACTCCCATAAAGGAGGAGGATATTTCTTATCAGGGTCTCCTAAAGCTACACACATTTGTTTAAAATTAACAAGAGAAAGATAACTTTTAAAATATTCCTTTTAAACACAAGAGAAAGAGGCAACCAAACTCCTGTAATAGTGACTGACTAGGTTATTTTTGTGAATTAGTCTGTAGTATTTACTACGTACCTATTCTTCATTAGATAAATTTAAATGCAGAATGTTTCTATCAGTTCAGGAATCATATTGTCATGTTTGTCACCAAGAAAGGATAATAAATGCGCTACCAATTTGCATGAGGGAACTAATGTTACTTTATGTTGTAATTTAAAAATCCCAGCAGTTGTAATTGATTCATTAAAGCCTGAGAAGTCAGAGTTCCTCCTTTATTCTCTTTGAGACACTGCTAATCCTCAATTATCTGTCAATGGATTTTCCACTTCGTGGATAATTTCCATGCTAATTTTTAATGCCATACAGGATCTCCCTAGCAAGTCAGAATATTTCGGGTCATGTGTAGCTTTCTCTAGGCAATAAAAATGCATTAGAAATTAAAGTAGCTACATACAATATCATATGAAATGTTAAGGAGCTAGGTAGGAGAAGCTCATCATCTCAATAATTATTTCATAATATTTACTAACCTGATGTGAATATTTGAGTAAATCCTGAAGGTTTTCTTTTTTCTTTTAAAAGAAAATATCATTATTTTATTTCTATTATGTTAAATTATAATTTCTATAATATTATTTTAGAAATATTCTTCTCGCCAGGTGGTGGTGGTACACACCTTTAATCCCAGCACTCAGGAGGCAGAGGCAGGTGGATCTCTGTGAATTCGAGACCAGCCTAGTCCACAAGAGTTAGTTCTAGGGTAGGCTCCAAAACTACAGAGAAATCCTGTCTCAAAAAAAAAAAGAAAAAGAAAGAAGACAAGAAAGAAAGAAAGAAAGAAAGAAAGAAAGAAAGAAAGAGAAATATTCTTCTCTGTTTATAGAAGAAAACAATCACCCTTTTGTAGTGACCATATAAGTAAGATTTATATTAGCTTCTGCAATGGTGATTTTTCCTTTGATGACCAGCTAATGAGTCACCTGAATACAGACACATCGAGACCATACTCGAGAGAATCAGCTTTCTAACACTCGAGCACATTGTCTTAGTTAGGATTTCTATTGCTGTGAAGAGACACCATGACCTCAGCAATTCTTATAAAGGAAAACATTTAATTGGGTGCCTTACAGTTTCAGAGGTTAAGTCCATTACCATCATGGCAGGACATTGTGGCAATACAGACAGACATTGAGCTGGAGAAGAAGCTGAGAGTTCTACATCTGATCCAAGGACAACAGGAAGTGAACTGTGTCACTGGGTGTAGCTTGAGCATAGGAGATATCAAAGTCCACCACCACGGTGACTTCATCCAACAAGACCATACTTACTCCAACAAAGCCACACTTCCTAATAGTGCTACTCCCTATGGGGTCATTTTCTTTCAAACTACCACACACATCTCTGGCAAATACTGTAACTTCTGGAATTATCATCAACTCTTTCAAAGAGCATCCTTAAACCACTCACTGTCTCCTCTGAAACAGAATATGGCTAGCTTCGAGTGTGATCTCAGGTTATTTTCTCAAATAGAAATTATACTAAACAGTTTATTTTTTAAAGGATCTTCTTTATTTGTTCAAGGCCTTCAAAGAAAGTAAGTTGAAATAACAACTGTCTCCAAGTCCATCACATACAATTTAATATATATGACTTATTATCATCTTAAGTTTCCTGGAAAAAAATATTTTCAGGAAAACAAGTCATAAAAAGCTATAATTACAGAATGAAGAATGCAATTGTTTGCCATTCACAAGGCATGTTTATATACTCCCTTGTGCTGTTTTATAATGCATATTTATATTATCTAGTCACCTGCTTAGGAAGAGCAAATCGATTTGTCATCTGCTCAGATTTCCATGCATTGTTCATGCTTCTATGGTGACAGTTAGCAAACTCGATATGGTTAGGAGTTTTCCTTTGACTTATCTCTGTTTTGCAAATTTGTTCTGTGCAGGACCATGTTTGCATTTTAACACATTTAGGATCTAACATGTTTGGCATATGATAATGATTTGGTAATGAGTGCATTTTTATGTATCACGACTCCCTTTAATAACTGTGGATTTTTTGTTTTTACTTTATTTGTTATAATTAATTCATAAAAATCATAGCCAAAAACTTTATTGTTCAAACAGATGTCCCTGTTTCCATTTCTTCCTGTAGAGAAACTCTCTGGACGGTCCTTTTAGAAGCTTTTCCTGATACGGATTTTCATTAGTAATAATCTCATGTTGGTGCTTCCTGGCTTGTCAGCTTTAGGACATGCCTACTGACTTCTTGGCATACAACTTGAAATCTTAGCTCTCATGCTGATTCCCGTCTTCTCTCCATCAAATTCTCCATCATACCCTTATTATAATTATATTGACAACTAAGTTAAATTACATTTCTATGATAAAGTCATTATTTTCCACCATTGCCCTGACTAATACATTATGATTACATTTATTCTGTTGTGTCTAAAGTTCTGAATCTTAATAATTAACTCGAAAACAATTAAAATTTTTTATGCACTTGGTAACGATGTTCCAAATGTTCACAAGGATTTGTTGCTCACCTGTTATAATTTATAGAAATGTTCATTGTTCATGGCTTCAAACACCAGAGCAGCAGGTCCATTCTTGATGTGGGAGTGATTTCTTATTAATAAAGAAACTGCCTAGGCCCATTTGATAGGCCAACCCTTAGGTAGGCGGAGAAAACAGAACAGAATGCTGGGAGAAAGAAGCTGAGTCAGGAGTCGCCATGATTCTCCCGCTCCAGACAGACGCAGGTTAAGATCCTCCCTGGTAAGCCAGCTCGTGGGCTACATAGAATATTAGAAATGGGTTAGAACAATATGTAAGAGCTAGCCAATAAGAAGCTGGAACTAGCCAGGCCAGGCAGTGTTTAATAGAATACAGTTTCCGTGTAATTATTTCGGGCATAAGCTAGCCATGTGGGCGGCCGGGTGCCGGGGACACAGCCCCACCGCTCTTATCTCAACACATTCTCTCTGTATGCTTCACTCCTGAGTCCACAGGTTGCTCTCTAGGTCTGAGGCTGTTATCTAGGCTATTTTTTCAGATGATCTATAGAAATTTCCTCCATCCTAGAAAACCAATCTGCAGCTTCTATGACATAGCCAAGAAAATGGTGGCCCTAATGGATACATTTTATCAGACATTATTAACACACATGTATTCAGTGAGCCAAATGTTCCTGCGATTGGTACTACTAGGATTCCACAGAGCAAATGAAGAAGCCAAGACCTACAAGTGAGAGTACTTGAAGCAGTATGCATCCAGACAGATGAGGAATCTGGATTCAAACCCAGAATCCCTCTTCTAATATTTGTACTGTCCATTGTAATATACTTCTTCCCAAGATACGTCCTTAGTAGAGATGAAAATGCATTGGGGATATAAAGTTCTGAAGGCTCACATATCAGAAAATTTTATCCATGCTCATGAGCGTTTGCTTTATTAGCTAGAGAAAGATTTCTAAGCTGTAAGTGACCTGACTTTCAAAATCTGAAGGCCTTGAGACATTATGTTTTATCACGAGTGTTTACTCTTAAGAAATAGAATGTCATTTTCCTCCTGCTCCCAGCATCTGTTGATTTCTGAGTGATTTCTGTGAAATCTCAAGTTCTCCTGGTTAGAGCTAGTGTTTTGATCTCTGACAATCATTTCATTTTCTCGCTTTGATGTATAATTGGTGGTTGTTTTAATTTATGAATTTATACTTTTGACACTCAAATTATTTTATATTGCTTCCTGGCTAATTTCCTCTGCTCTTTTTGCTTCTTTATAAAATTTGATTCATCTGTGTTCTTAGAGATTCTTTTTTTTTTTTTTTTTTTTTTTACATTCTTTGGTCCCTCTCTTTCATGTTTGGGGCTTCATTCATGTGTCCTGTGATTGTAGGATGACCACTCATATTTACTGGCAGCTTTATTAAAATGATGTATCCATTTTCTGGGAATGACAGAAAGCCCTCTGTCTTTCTGGACTCATTTCTGGTCTAGGAACTGTGAGGTCTCTAGACTTTGGCCTTCAGTATCCATCCTCGTCAAGCCTACATAGCGAAACCTTAGAAAGAAAGCTCTTAAGTCAATTTAGAAACGATTCTTGCCCTTAACAATAATCAACTCCTTCTCCCTCTGCTGCCCCACAAAGTGATTCCCTTTTCCATGACTCTTAATTCCTAACTGCCCACATTGGGGTTGAGGCCGGCTCTGTAGTAAGATCTCTGTTCCTCAGTTGTAGTGGTTACTTACTAAAATCTGTTTTTGTGGTTTTTAACTATCACCCATCTCTGCTTTTCCTAAGTAAAGATTCCTTGTAGATGTTATTATTAGCTCTTGGGGTCAGGTGGCAGGTTTGACTGTTTATACTGAGGCATATATCTCTCCTGGTAGGTAAAATAATACTCTAGTATTTTGGTTGTTCGAGTTTTAGAACATGACCACGAGAAAATCGGACATCTTTATAATTTGTCACCTCCAATTTTCAGCTTATAAGTGCACCTCTGGATTAGGTTTCCAGACAAATCTTGGTTCTCTATTTTTGGAGCAGCGACTCCTTTCTTGTTATGTGGGATGGGTGGGAGAGACCAGTGAGTCTGGGTGCTCCCTATGAGGCTCAGGATTACTGTTCTAGATCATAGTTCCAACTCCCTGCTCACCACATTGCATCTTCATGATGCTTCTAAAGATGATCTTCACGGTGGTTCCAAATCTGAGGATTTTCCTGGATCTGTGGACTGATTGTCCTTACTTTCACCTGTGTATATTCAGCTGCAGGATTGTGTTTCCAATAATCATCACTCTCTTGTCACCCACTTCCTGTTTTCCAGATATCTCAGTCCCTTGGTCCCAGTGCTTACCTTTTTGAATTTTTAACACTTCTCTATCTCTCTTCTTGGGAAGGGAGATAGAGAAGACCATGCATATATACTTTATTCCTTAAACTTGCACTACAGTATATGTTGCTACATGATAACTGAGCTGGCGAAAGTGTCAGGACGAAGTTGGTGGTTGTGTCACATATGAAATAAATAAACATGACTCCGCCAACTTCTCTACATTTTTTGTTTACTAATTTTTTCCTTCAACAGTTTCATACATGTGTATGGAACATGCGTTCTGATTACTTTGCCTATCTTCTTATAGTTCCCTCCCATACCAGTCAGTCCCCCACCCATTCCTACCAGTTTCTTTCCCTCAGATTCATGCCTTTTAATTTTGTTTTTTGTGACCTATTTTTAGAAAAGAAAGGCCCTCCTTGGTTCTTTTGTTTCGTTTTTGTTTCTCTGTGTAGTGGCTCTGGCTGTCCTGGAATTCACTCCGTAGACTAAGCTGACCTCACCGTCACAGAGATCTACCACCTCTGTCTCCCGAGTGCTGGGTGTAAAGGTGTGCGCCACCACTATCTTGCTCCTTGGTGCTCTCTAAAGTAATTTTTAATTGGCCCACTCTCACCTTTTGTTCTGCACCTCATCCCAACCTGCACCTCATCTCAGCCTGCACCTCATCCCAACAAAACAAGACATTTAAGAAGGGCGAGACTGTGGACAAGCTCTGAAGGGCCGAGGACACCTCAGTTGAATAAAAGAATACAGTAGGCAAGTTTGCAACTCACGTTACTAAGACGACTAATGAGAGTATCATCAGCATAAATAACTAGGGCCTGGAGGAAGGCATACACTAGTATTTTCTCTCACCAATTATTCCACAGATGTAATTTTAAAAATCACTGTTTTATAAAACTGTAATTACGATACATTTTTGTGTTACCTGTGCTTTTTCTTCCAATACTGCTAGAGTCATTTGTTAATCTTCTGCACATTTTAAGTATTTTGCCCTCACTTTTCACACATTGAAGCATATTTTTACGAAATCTTCCAGAAATAATTTCTCATTTTTTATCATGTTTTATTAGACATTTACATAGAATGTCAAGGTCAAAATTTTGTAAGATTTTAATCTCTTTGCTGATGACAACCCTTCAGGAAGTTGAAAAGGAGTATGGGAAAGACAGCAACGCTTTCTTTAGTGTGGTTAATGAGATCTAGAGAAAGATGAAAGAAATGGGTTTCTTTTTGTGCTTGCACAAGGGTAAGGTGAGAAATGGGGGAAAAAAGCATAATTGGCCAATTCTTTTATTTAAGAGCCTATTTTATAGGTTCAGAGTACTTCGGGCTCATGATCATCTGGCCAATTTCATAGCAGAAGTGTATTTCCAAATTGATTTGAAGGGAAAGATTAGTGAGGAGCATCAATAAGGGAGAAGAGATGGCAGCTTTTTCCTCAGGCAATTTCAAAAGTCAGAACGGAGCTAAAAATAGATGTTGGCAGTGGTCAGTGCAGGGCTCTTCCCACAGGCACATGCTCCCTGTCCCCATGCCTGTCTGGAACATCATCTTAGAAAACACAGTGGCTGGCTCTCTCTGTCACTTCCTTGCTCAACCATATTAAAGCTTCTTCTGGTTCGTACCTAGATTGAAAACAAAGCTGAGAGAAAGGCCAATGAACTGTTTTTCATTCAAAAGAATGGATTGAAAATTTAACATGGGCTGAACCCCTGTTCCAAAAATCACGAAAACACCATGTAATTATTTAAATGGAATCTAAAAATGATTGCCAGTAGAGATGCTAAAAACGAGAGAGAAATCTGGAAAGTGGGAGCTGAGCTGTCTTCTCAAACTGAGTTTCCTTCACAGCTGAGCACGGCACAGCTGCTGCTGAGCCTGCGTGCATTGCTTCAGGTTGGCACAGGAGATGACGCCATGATTAAGAAAAGTTAAAATGGTGAAAAACATGCTCCAGATACACCAAGCTGCGCTCCCCATGTCCCACAAAGATATGAATAATTGAATAACCAGAAACACTTTAAACACTTTTAAAATTGTTTCAGAGACAAAGAATGAAATGTACAAACACTGAAATAAATAGTGTTTATATATACAAATAAATAATAATAAATCAAGAAGAAGATTTAGAAAATTATCATTACAATGATGGGATTTAGTGACCAGATCACTTTCAGATCAGACAGCTCTGAAATGTTGCAAAAGAAGGGGAAACTTAGGAATCAGTGCAGGTTACCAAGTGGAGGAGTGATGGCAAATGCTTCTACAGCTTTGGATCTTGGAAAGAAAGGAAATCCTGTAGTGTCTGGCCCACTTAAGGGAGGAAGGAAAGCAAACAATGATTCTCACTGTGCATGGAAGAACACGGAGACTCAGCGAGGGATTACTACCTCACAAGGTGCTGGTCTTCCTTTCTTTTTGCATGTTGAATATGAGAGATAATTGCCTGACTTTTAATAGGATGTAAAAGAGAGAGAAAGGTGAAGAAGAATTATTTCATTTATGTCTTACACTCTTCTTGGGGTCTTAGTTTTTCATTCGCAGGTAATAATAGTACAAACTATGAAATCTGTTATGACATTTTCACATATACAATAATGTAATTTTTAGTTCAAGTTTCTCCTTCCTGTTCCCCCACTGATACTGTACTAAGATTCAGTTTAAATCTTATCTGCTAAGTCAATATATGAAGTCTTCCCCAATATCTAAGGAAAATATTTTAAGCTAACACAATAGCATATTCTATAATTTTATTATTCATTTCATTCTTAGGAGTGGGGCCAGGTAAATGTTTACAATGCAGAGCACAAACAAAGCGTACCTTATGTTCTGTCTTGCATGTATTTTTTTTTTTTTGTTGAAAATGAATTAGGTGTATTTTCCATCTCTAATGCACAGGTAAGTATTTTT